CGTGAGTGGTACTAAGTGGAAGATAGACATAATTCACAAGCCATGGAACAGTTCATTTTACTTGAACTTTTCTTAGGCTGTGATGTTAAACATATTCATTCTCAAAATAAATCATTTTGTCCATTCCAAAGGACAATCTAATGTAGGGAAGAAAAAAAGGAAAGAGGCTAAGTATATAGTGTTAGCCTGCCCATAGTCCCAGCACTCAGCCTCAGACAGATGATCACTGCAAGTGTGAAGCAGCCTGGTTTGTACAGGAAGCTCCAGGTAAGTCAGGGTTACAGAGATGGAGCAGGCTGGAAGAAGAGAAGGGGACAGAGTGGGAAGTAGGGCTACAGAAGGGAAAAGAGAAAGAGGAGAGGGAAGGGAAGGGAAAAAGAAGAAAGTGGAGACGAGGGAAGGGCCAGGGTGTAGTGGCCAGTGAACTTGCGGTGGTGGCCACACACTATGGATGTGCCTTCAGCTGTGCAGATGTGACCCCTGATAAGGAAGAGAAGGGGCTGGCTTGCCCTCTTGGCTTGCAGTGAGAGCATCAGAAGAGCAGAGACTGCATCTTTTGGAGCAGGAAGACCACGGCAGGTATTTACTGTTTATTTGTGTAGGTACTTCCCTAAGAAATACCTATTTATCATTTATCTTGGTTCTGGTGGACTCATTTAATCCCCACCTTCACAAGGGGAAAAGTAAGGGAATGGAAAATAAGAGGAGGAAGGAGGATCATATTGCTGGCCTAAACTAATTTGTCTCAGGAATGATTCAAGAGCTACACCTGAAAGACATCAAAAAAGCATCTTACAAAAAAAGGCCTTAAAAAGTTCATAACCCATGTCTTAGTTAGGGTTTTCATTGCCATAAAGAGACACCATGACCACGGCAACTCTTATAAAGGAAAGCATTTAATTGGGGTGGCTCACCTATGGTTTCAGAGGTTCAGTCCATTATTATCATGGCTTGGAAAATGACAGCATGTAGGCAGATATGTGCTTGAGTAGTAGCTGAGAGTTCTACATTTTGAAAGTTATAGGAGGTCAACTGACTCACTGGGTGCTATCCTGAACATAGGAGACCGCAAAGCCCATCCCCATAGTGACACACTTTCCCCAAGGTCATACCTACTCCAACAAAGCCAGAGCTCGTAATAGAGGCACTCCCTATGCTATTATGAAGGCCAGTTACACTCAAACTATCACAACCCCATAAATACATCCATGACTGTAATACATATGTATTTTTCTCCATATATATATTCTTCTTATCTTGCATGCTTAGTTATCAATTTACACAATATGGATGCTAACTGCTAAGACTATGAATAACAAAAAGCTAGAAAGAGAATGTGGTGGAGTTAGTGGGTCACAGCACATGCAATCCTTAATAGCTATACATGTAAGAGGACATATTACAATGTGTCAGATGTTTTAAGAGTTCCTCATTGTGTAATTTATTTTTCCCTTCTCTGTCTCTCTGTAATGTTGTCCTATGTCACTTACAGAGCAGTGACAACACTTGCCCATTTTTTGTCTCTTTGTTGTAAGTTATTGCACATGTTACCACAGCCATTTCATTGGAGTTATTCAGCAGTATTATTGGCTATGGAAGAAAGACCATTGCTAAGACCATGTTCTTGTCCTATCAGTATATTTCTTATACAGCATACTGAACAGTTCAACCAGAGGAACTTTGGTGCTAGCATAAACTTTCTTTAATCCACCTAGTTCAAATGGAAGCCTATAGCTTCTTATGAGTGTTAATATAGCACTTGGCAAAAGAACAGAAATCTATTATGTTTTCAGATGGATTGTCGTTTGTTTTATAAGGGGTTTAGTGTAGTTTTTGTATGTTTTAAATTTGTTTTACATGATTTGGTCATGGACAAAATGAACTACGTAAAATGTAAAATCCTCACAGCCCCAGTAAAGAAGACAGTTACTGACTTAGCCCAAGAGTTTTCCCTATTCATTAATCCAGGCTCTGGCATCATTTAAATCCACATTTCGAATTCTTCCTACTTACATATTTGTTTAGGGCAGAGAAGGAATCTAAAAGGACCGAGAGAAAGCCAGACAGTCTCAGGGATGAAAAAACTCCAGTGCATATTTTGAACAGCATCATAGACTACTGACTGCTTAGTGTTACAGGAGAAAGAATTTAAAGTCACATGGGAAGCATTGAAGACTTTAGGGGAGGTTGGCTAATGTACATGAGTTCTAATTGGTCTTAATAATAAAAGCCCAGAGTCAGATATAGGGGAAAGTGCTGAGAGATCAGACAGACAAAAGAACAAAACCACAGCCACCTTACCTACTTAACTTCCCAGCCAAAAAGAGAAAGAGCTCCTGTCTATTCCTGCCTAATCACTTCCTGTCCTTCTGCACAGACCTCCAGACCTCTATGGTTAACTAGTGGCTAGCTCTACCCTTGAATCTTCAGGCAAGTTTTGTTTGTTAGAATATAAACAAAATATCACTACAGGCTAATGCCATTAACCCATAGCACTTATAACCAATTCATTTTATTATATTGATTTATAAATTATAAATTATATACTGATACTTTATTAGCCAATATCTCAAGACTCCATATATATTTTAGATAAAGTTTATTATTGATAATGAAATATTTATATTTATTTTGATCTCAATTTTAATTATATTGTCATTATTTTGACATGCAGATTTAAAAGCAGATGAATAAAAATAAAAACTAGATTGTAGATTTTCAGTGTTGGTATTTATTATTTACTTATTTTGTAAATTCACTTCAAATGTATGATTTAGAAATTTTTACAACTTAACTTATTTAATGATCTAAATTGTGAATTTACTTAACCAGGCACAGCATACTGAAAGGTAATGTGCAAGTTTGGGCCACTATGAATCACTCTGCCTTGTAGAATTCAGAATTTCCCATCATGTCCCAGAATCACTTTTGCTTCTTATATAACAATGTAGATTTTGACTATAAACTGTCTTCAGGTTTCCATTGTTGTGAAGAGGCAGAATGACCATGGCCACTCCTACACAGTAAAACCTTTCATTGGGTGGCTCACTTTCCATATCAGATATTCAGTCTATTATCATTGTGGTGACAGGATGGTGGACATGATGCTGGAGCAGTAGCTGAGAGCTCTGAAGGCTACAGGAAGTCAACTGACTCACTGGGTGGCATCCTGATCACAGCAAAGCCCACACCTATAGTGACACACTTCCTCCAACAAGGCCTTATCCATTCCAACAGAGCCACACTTCCTAATAATACTATTTCCTATGAGATTATGGGGATCAATTACACTCAAACTACTACATTCTCCTCCCTGTCCCCCATAAGCTTCTAACACTATCATAATGTAAAATTCATTTAGTCCAACTTCAAAAGTCCCCATAGTCTATCACAGTCTCAACAATGTTTTAAAGTTCAAAGTCTCTTCTGAGATTCATGCAGTCACTTAACTGTAATCACCTGTAAACATCAAAATCAAAAAACCAGATTACGTACTTTTAACATATAATGACACAGGATATACGTTACCATTCCAAATTGCAGGGAAGGGGGCATAGCAAGGAAATGCTTGACCAAAGCAAGACCTAAAAACAGCTGGGCAAACTCCAAACTCTACATTTCCGTGTCTGACATCAAAGTGCATTTCAGATATCCAACTCCTTTCATCTTTGTTGACTGAAACATAATTCTTTCTCTTTGGGGTGGTTCAATTCCCCTGTAAGCAGCTCTCTTCAGCAAGTATTCCACAACTCTGGCATTTTTAACATCTTGGGTTCTCCAAGGCTTCAAATTCATAGCTTCATGTAATGGCTTCTCTAGGCCTCCATTCAGGGACACTACTGATATATGCCTGGCGTCTGTGACTTTCGTTAGGCACAGAAACAAATTTCATAATTCATTTTTTCTATTCTTAACGCTAGAGCCAGAACCACATGACTGAAGCTGCTCAGTTCTGGTGCTTCTTGGGACTGGAACATGTCTACATTGTTCAATTATATCTTCATCAGCTTTCTGTCCTTTACTGCCTAATCTTGGCTGTCCTGAAACACTCTGTAAAAAAAGCTACCCTCAAAGTCAGAGATCCACTTGCCTATTCCTTCCCAGTGCTGGATTAAAGGTGTTCACAGCCATACCCTGGTCTTGGAAAGTGGTTGGGATCTTGACTCATGGTTACCACTCTTTTCAATTCATTTCATTTCATTTCTTAATCTGTTTATCTCCTTGAACACAGGATTTAGCTCCATTCTACTTCCTGGAATTCTTTTTCTCCTCAGAAATCACATTTTATATAACAGGAATGATCTCTAGGAAACACACTAAAATTCTTCTCCTCTGAAACTTCTTGATCCCCACAGTTCATCAAATCATGTTCAGCCTACTGTTTTCCAAGGTCCTACTAGTATGGCCTATTAATTAGTGCTTAAATCATTTCACTGTTTTCTGAAACCAAACTCCCAAAATCAATACTGCTACAAACAAAAATGTGGGCTGTCCTTTCACAACAATATCCCAGTCCCTGGTATAAACTTCGGTTTCAGTTAGAATTTCTATTGCTGTGCAGAGATACCATGACCCTAGCAACTCTTAAAAAGTAAATCATTTAATTGGGGTGACTTGCTTACAGTTTCAGAAGTTCAGTCAATTATTATTGTCTTTTTAGGATTTCTATGATGTGACAAAACACCATGACCAAAAAACAAATTGGGAGGAAAGGGTTTATTTGGCTTGAACTTCAGCATTGCTGTTTATCATGGAATGAAGTGAAGACAGGAACTCAAATAGGGTAGGATCTCAGAGGCAGGAGCTGATGGAGAGGCCACGGAGGGAAACTGCTTACTGGTTTGCTTCCCATGGTTTGCTCAGTCCTTGTTTCCAATTTTGTGTTTTATGGATTTTACACATGTGCATGCATGTGCATGCATTTGTGTGTATGTGTGTATGTGTGCGTGTGTGTGTCTATGTCTGTGTGTCTGTGTTTCACATGCTTTTCTCCTTCTGTGTGTGCTCCTTGTTTACTTCTAATTTTCTTGTTTTTCTACGGGCCGGCTTGTTTTCTAAAGAGAGAGAAAGAAAGCTTGAAGTTGGTTGACTTGGGAGGTGGGGAGGACCGGGGAAGAAGAGAGGGAAGGGAAATCATGACCAGAATATACTGTAAGGAAACCAAAATTTGTCTTCAATAGAATAAAAGAAAAACACTTTGAACATTGTATAATATGTTGAATTTTAAACAAGATTCTACAGTGAACCAGGTGAATACAGAATTAAAAGGTTATTGATCTAAAGTGAACTTTGAAGGGACAGCTATATACATGCAGAGTGAACAAAATGTGTCGGAAAGTCACTAGCTATCATATGCCTTCCTGTCAGTTAGTTAGTTTGCTTAAGGGTCATGAGAATGATCACACCTGCAAGCTGTTCACCTTCAAATTCTGGAAAATTTGGAATGTTCTCTCATACAATTGTTTACTTGGTCATTTTGAGACGTTGACTGTCTTTGCAGCATATGTTACCCTTGAACTTGTAGCCTAGACTGTCCTTGAAACCCTAATACTCTTGCCTCTGCTTTAAGAGTTGAGACCTCAGTTATGAACAATGATAGCTGGCTACTGGGCTCATCTGATAAGTAAGTAATATACAAGATGAATCAAAATTAGTTGTAGTTCATGGTTGTTGTAAGTTCTGGTACAGAATTTCATGTAAGATAATGCTATCATTTGAGTAAATGCCCCCCAAAGACCCATGCTATAAATGCACCCAGGTTTCAGCACTACTGAGAGATTGTATGAAGCTTTCAATAGTCAGAGCCTTGTATCATATAACACTTTCTCCTGAGATTGAAACAACCCATACTACAGCAAGCTCCTTCAACAGGAGGGTAAACAACTCAAATTAGCTTCAGGAAATCCCTGAAACTGACCAGATTCACCAGGCCTCTCCCTGCCACAAAAAGCAATACAAACTGAGAATCCCTCTAAAATGGAAGGAAGCTGAGATGCAAAGAAGACTCTAAGACCTGACCAGTTGCTTGGAAGAAGCAGAAAGCTTTGTGGAAGAGGTTTAAATCAAGAGAGGCACCTAGAAAGGGGAGTCTCATACCTGTTGAACTGCCTGCAGGATGGACAGTGTGCTCCAAGTTTCCAGCCATTCTCCTGACAAAGGGTGTTCCATTTTTACTGGCCTTCCTTTGAATTGAGCTTTCCAGATAACCTCAACACAAAATATACCAAAATTTTAAAAATATATTATTCAGTTTCAGTAATGAATTCCATTTGCCCATATTTGTACTGCCCAGTTGCCTGACACTCTATACCAAATCAGCAATCCCTACCTACACTGGCTTAGGTTTCTGAAGAAACTTAAATAAGCTTAGTTACACTTGAACATGCTCAACATAGCTCACCTACCCTTGAGTTTCCTTGGAGAACAAGTTGATTGTTTTGTAATTAGTCATGAACTATTTAATTGCAAATTCTCAAAACTCATGTCTTTGGTAAATCTTCTGAAAATTAAAGATTGTCTACAAAGAATTTAGTTCAATTCTTAGCTCAGAGGGTTATAGCTGAACGGTCTACAGTGATTTCCTCAAGTTGGCTTCTCTGTCCAGTCTGACTGGAATTAAAGAGGTCACAGTGAAAGCAAGGACTTTTATTTCTTGTTTTCAGAATGAGTTTGAATAATTCCACCATCACTCACCCCAGAAGACATACAAGTTAATAACTTTATGTCCTTTGTTCTTCCATGTCATGGTTTTCAAACATGGCTGTGGAGACTAATATACTAATGCCTTGTAGCGAACTGCATGGTTACAGTGACAGGCTACAACACTTCTCAATGATCCGGGTGAAGGGCTAAGGATGTAAATGAAGACAAAGACAGTGCATTTATTATAACAAGAGCAGAGAGTTAAATGCCAGTAGCAGGCATAGTGGAAAACTACCAGGTCATCAGCCCACATTCCCAGGGCCCTTCAACAAAGGATGGGCAGACAACAGGAGCTTGCCTTCAGGCTATACTGGGAGGAGGGGACAAGAGGTATTTTGCTAGAAGCTCCAGTCACAAGCTGGTCAGCAGATCTCCATGGGGGAAGGGTGCAACAATGCCTTACTTACTAAATATGAGTTGTCAAATTGTATGTAAATGATCTAGGCTGCAGAAGGGTAGGAAAGCTGGTGGGATCTGGAGAGAGGCCTCTATTTCCAGAAAACTTCCTTCAGGAAAAGTCTAGGGCATCTGGGAGAAGGCCTGTTGATAACACAGTTACAGAGGAATAAATCTGTAAGGACACAAAGAGATAGAAGAAAGGTTTTAAAGTAGAGCATGGTATAAGACATGAACCTATAATGGGTGTTTGGATGCCAGTTGTCCGGATAGCAGAATAAGTCAAACTCTGGGTTTGACAGCTTTACAAGCTAAGTTTTTTCCCCTGAGATTCTAGATCATGATCCATGCCTATAAAAGTCAGTGTTGGAGTTTTATCCCTTGATCTTTTCAAGTCAAGTCAATGCTTAATTTGTTTCTTCCAATTTTCAAAATGCAAAGGAGCATGAGAGTTTCAGAACTCCTAGCTGAGCTTCCCTGTTCCATACCATTATTCTCCTCACTACCACTTCTGAGTCTCCTACCAAGATTAGCACAGTGCCTGCTGAGCCCAGAGCTTCCTTCTCATGACTCACCTAGCTTGGCTCTGTACAGCATACGGTTCTGCTCACTGCCTTCTTCAGAAATCCTCCTTCTCCCTTGGATTTGGAGTTAGTGCAATGGGTTAATCACTTGTTTTTTATCTACTTTGTAATTTTTTTTAATTTATTGAACAAATGTTTTTAGTATTTGGTTCCTCTTTTTATGTTTTATGAAAATTTATTTTTATTCGCACACAAAATGAAGATTGTAGAAATGTTTGAATGATATAATTCAATACATATGTACATTAATATTTAAATCATAAATTATTTCTTGAAAATACTTATCATTTGTTTATAAGAAGACTGTTTAGAACCCTTTTGTCTATTTTTTGAGAAATAATGCACACAGTTGTTATCCACAATCAGCCTGCTGTGGAATAGCACATCAGACCTCTTATCTAACTATAAATTAATCCTTATTGACCAGTCCTATATCTAGCTCCACCCACTGCCCTAGCCTCAAGGAGCCACCATTTTACTCTTCTATGGAATCAATGATTTGATTCTTTAGATGAATGAGATCCTGGGGTACTTGTTTTTCTGTGACTAGCTCATTTCACTTAACATAATGGTCTCCATTCATGTCACAAATGAAAAGGTTTCAGATTTTTATGATCAACTCATACTCTATTGTGTGTGCATACCAAATTCTCATTTTCCATTCATCAGATTATAGACACCAAACTGACTTCTTTCACAGGCTGTTGTATATGGTGTTAAAATAAACATGGAAATGTATGCGTTGCTAATCATATGGTTTTATTTTCTTTCAAAATGTAACAGCAATAGATTGGTTAGGTCATACTATACTTCTTCTTTTGATTTTTTTGAAGTTGCTGTTCTCTTCTGGTCTTCTTTTCATGGTTTCAAACGGCATGATTGCTTCATTTCAGGATTACTTCCTCTGTTAAAGGATTATGTTGTACTGAATAAATGCCCCTCATCAACTTTGGAGCTTTTACAATGTGTCCCCAGCTTGAGGTTCTAGGACAAGATCCTCTTTCCTCTTCACTTTCTGGAATAATAAGGATTACTGTGCCTTATAATCTTCAACAATTCTTAGATGTCAATGTTTCTCTCTACCACCTCTCCTCTATTGTGTTTCCTCCCTTACCTAAATAGTCCTTCCCTTGTCTCTCTTGGTGAATTCATCTGTTCAAGGAAATTTCACTGTCATTTCTTTTTTATTAAATAATGTGGTATCTCTGTTTTCTTAGCTTTTTCATCCTCTCATTAGTAATATAAAATTCATATTTTACGACAATTATTTCACTGTATCTTCCCAAGTTGGAGCTTTAATTCTATGATAGTGGACACTAAATTCCAATAAACGTTCTATGCCTAGAACCTGGAATAAACTTCACATCTCATCACACTGTCACTGAATCATCTCATATAACAAAAGGAGAGTACATGACAGTATCATTCCATACACTCCCCTGACTTGTGCACGTGTGTGTGTTGGAGGTATGAAATGATACTTACTGTACTATATATGTGTGTGTGTGCATATATACACACGCATATAGAAATATAGAGAGAGAATGCACATGGCTTTTATTACTGAGTATTATAATATTTTTTTCATTAGTGACGTTAATTACTCATTGTTAAACCTAACTTACAAATTAAACTTCATCATAGGTGTGCATATATGCAGGTAAAAGAACATATGTCATGTTTAGAAGTATCATGTGTACAACTCTATGGAAGTTTCTTGTAATGTATATGTCTTCCATCTATGATATATATGTATATATGTATATATTCTTTATTTGGAAGTCATTAAAGGCTTCATTTTAGTTAACTTTAGACTTAGCTCTAATGTTATATTTTATTATTAATATAATATTATATATATTATATATAATATTAATATAATATAATATAATATATTATTGATATAAATAAAGGGTAAACCCATCTTTAATTACAATGCAATAAGCAATGTTTTCTGTCAAACTTCATTATGCAAGTATGTATGTATATATGTATGCATGCGTGCAGCATCTACCCACCCACACCTACATATCCATCCATCCATCCACCCATCCATCTAAATATAGCTTGCATAATATTCTAGGTTTTTGCACTAGCTCATTCTTTTAATGAGGTTTATACTCTCATTACTGAAATTTCTGAAATCCTTCTTTTAGTTCAGTAACCACATACACAAAAATGTCACTTACACGCACAGCCGGATGAGCTACCCTAAAACAAACCCTTGCCATTTCTCTACTTGGGCTAAGATCTGGGATACTACTGACACCACAGATACTGCTCTCCCAGCCCTTCCTAACCACCAGCATTTTTCTGTTTTCCAAAGATAACCACCATCATGGCATCTCATACCATATGGTGGTTTTGAAATTTATGTGATTTCAACTTTATGGACTGAAAATCATGAGGATGTACTGCTTAAATACCCCTTCCAGAAAGGCTTCCACTGACCACAGGAATGTAGTTAGCTGCCAGCCTCCAGCTGTGAACTCTGCCTGGCCTGTTTCAGCCTTTGGGCTGAAATCACCCTATTTTTGGAAGTCCGTAGTCAATAACTAAGTCAAGTGCCATCATCTTCAGGGCATGTTCTTCCTGGTGTGGTTTCTAAGCAGTTACAAAAACACTGGTGGTAAAGGTCTGTGAGGCATTTGTCCTCAAAGCCAGGGTGCACTATTATCAGTATTTTCTCCAGAGCTCCCATTTGGCTGGTAGGAAATTGGTCATAGGTCATATTTGTACCACATTCTGATGACTTCATTTGCTTAGTCCTGTTTCCTTTTTTTTTCCTTTTCTAGGTGTTATTTTCCCTGATAAACTATTGCTGTGTAGGCCCCAGTTATGTTATTTTTACCTTGTTCAATATTGTATCTGTGTACCTGATAGTGGACATCTGGTTGTTTGGACTGTTAAGTGTAAAGACACCATGAACACATATATGTGATGTTTGAGAGACTTTTGTTGCATCATTAGAGGCAAAATCTCCCTATTTTCCTTGGATAGTCTTGAACCACTGAACTCACGTAATCCCATTGCCTTACCCTCACTAGGCCCATTGTCTCTGCCTATAAAGAGTTCCGTAGTTAGCTTCTTTTCAGTTCTTTGTACAATGGTTTGGGGTCAAATACATTTCCCAAATGGAATGAAGAAGATTTTTACTTGTTTCTTATTCTCATTAATATTTTGCATGGTTAGCCGGGCGGTGGTGGCACACGCCTTTAATCCCAGCACTCGGGAGGCAGAGGCAGGTGGATCTCTGTGGGTTCAAGGCCGGGCTGGACCAACAGCCTCCAAAACAATACAGAGAAACCCTGTCTCGTAAAAAAAATATTTTACATGGTTAGTCTTTAAATTTTGATTTTTAGTGATATAAAAATATATACCAGGATGTACTTAATTTTAGCTTTCATATTGATTGGCAAAGTTTGACTCTTTAAATATGTTTTATCTCACTTTTTGCCTTTTCATTTATTTTGTCTCTTAAATAAACAGATATACTTCCTGTTCTCTAGTTTTAGGCAGACAACAGTTTTAACTGGAGCTATTGTAACATACAAATTTCTTTTAATGCCATTTACTAGATCAAGAAAATCCTTTTATTCCCACAATGACAAGAAATCTCATGAGCTACAATATTTTGTAAAATTCCTTTTCTGTATTTTATGAGATCATCATATAATTCTCCCCAGTACTGTTATTGTGTTTTTTTTAATTTTTTGAATTTTATTTCTTTTTTAAGTGTTAAATACTCTTTATTTGCTATCATACATAAACTACAATGGATACATTTCAGTGGTAAAAGGCAGCGTCCTTTGACGAAATTCTAATTACATCAGCTTCATGAGGAATAGACAGTTGCTTTTTGATACTAAACTATTGACTATAACAGACCAGTGAACACAAACTGAAACACGGACTTGATTCTGAGACAGTGAAAGTATTTCTCCAGTGTTTAAACATATTCATATGCCCAGCTATATGAATCTAAGAATAAAGCTATTCTATTGGTTCTGAGGTGACACCCCATCTTTATGGAAAGACGAACATTTCTAATCAAGTCCAATCCTATCTTGAGAAAGGGACTGCAGTGATAGTATTTACACAACTGGAGTTGGTTTCTTTTATTACATTTTTGAAAGATCATATCTACTTTGTTACAAAACAGGACTGTCAGACAAAAAACACTTTTAGCCATTCATCATCTGCATTCTGGTGTATGAATTAAATTAAGGCACACATTGAAAACCATGGTGTATCTGTTGCGTAATGAATAATACAGTGGTATTACTCTTTAGTGGTCTTTTCAAGCTAAGCTATCAGGTCTACCCTCTTCCTCTTCTTAATTCTAGTGAAGATCATTTTTGTTCCAGAGATGTACCTTTTGAGATTCTCCAAAGACTGCATCAGTGAATCCTATCTCCAGGTGATTCCTTTGTTCTCATTAGCATCCTTGAGACTCCAGTGACCCGACATGCCTTCCACACAACAGGCTGTGGTGATTTGGTCCAGTTTTATGCTTGCTTCCCTATTCCATAGTGTGGAACTGGCCACACTTCCAAACAAAAATCTTCTTGCCTTTCTCAACATCACTCATTCTACAGCCTGAGGATAGATGTCCTGATTTCTGAGTTTTATTCATGTATTTTTGCAATTATTTTGATCATATTCAATATTTTGCCCCAACTCCTCCCATAACCACCCTCTACTGCCCCTCACCCAATCATACCTTTCTTCTTCTTCTTCTTCTTCTTCTTCTTCTTCTTCTTCTTCTTCTTCTTCTTCTTCTTCTTCTTCTTCTTCTTCTTCTTCTTCCTTCTCCTCCTCCTCCTCCTCCTCCTCCTCCTCCTCCTCCTCCTCCTCCTCCTTTTCTTTCTCCTCCTTCTCATCTCACCCCCATACAGTCTTGTCACCCAGCTAGCTGACCTACACAGGCTCATTGTTTGAACTTCAGTTGGTAATTCTGTTTAAAAAGGTTCTTAGGAGGTGGAGACTTGTGGGGAGAAGTAAGACTCTGGCAATGGACATTTAGTGTTATAGCTGGCCCTAGTTTGTATTTACTTTCTGCTTCCTGACAGTGAATGCAAAGTATATGGTGCCTCCCACTTCTGTCAACATATTTTCCCTTCTGTAGTGGACTTTACCATTGAAGGGTCCAAAATAAACCCTTGCTGCCTTACGAACTCTGAGTCAGGTGATTAGTCATAGCAATTAGAAAAGTAACTAATGCATTCCATATCAGCCTTTGAGGATAAATATTACTCTGTTCTGCCCAAAGACTCTGAGATTCACAAAAGTGCAGTAACACATTTAAGGCTGTTGCTAGCCAAATATTTCAGATCCAGCTTGAAGCTGGTGCCGTTGCTCAGTAAATGAAATACTTTTTCTTGCCTTTCTTCCTTTTTCTATTTCTGAGGCTAAAGAACTATTTTTGAGTGATTCTTTTGTCAGCCTTTTTACTTTGTTCATACACATTGTCTGTTTCTTGGTCATAAATTATATGAACATGGCTCAGAAATCTCTAAGATGAAGTATAAAACTCTTTTAAACATAAAACACTAATATAAAATCCAGTATGAACTCACTGAAGAATTACTTTCAATGAAATAGCATAACTATATACCCCAAACTCAGCGACTTTGTAAAGAAGTGTTTATTTTCCTGGCTTTTAAGTGGTAGGTCAACTGACATTTGTCTCTAACTTTACATAGGCCGCACATGTTTCAATTCAGGAGTTATGCTAAAAATTCCTCCTCTTGTGGTGATCCCACGTGTCTTCGGCTGTGCTCAGAAGTCACATGACACCCACCAAGGCCTCATCTGGGAACTTTTGCCCACATTTTATGTTCTAAAGCAAATCACAAACAACAGTGAAATTTACAGACTGAGATTTGTCTCTTCCCCTAAAGGGAGGTTTTGAGAGGCTAGATAAATGGCTCAGAGGTTAAAGGGTCTCTTTTTCTTGAAAAGGACCTGGGGTCCATTCTCTGTACCCACACTGGGCAGCTCACAATTCCCTATAATTTCATTTCCAGGACATCTAAAGTCATGTGGCCCTCAATGGTGCTTTTGTGTGTACATGGTGAGGATAAACTCATGCAGGTATACACAATTACCCAAAGCGTTTTTAAAAAAGAGGGAAGTTTTAAAAGGTGGAAACATGGATCTAGGGTTATGTGTTAAAGCAACTTTTCTAGAAGACTGAAGTTGTAATTCAAACCCCGAAGTGTTATTTTAGGGTACCCATGTGATGTCTTTTGCATGGGGCTTTGCTCTGTAGTTTTTGTTATATTTCTTATTACTTTTAATAAATTGTACTCACTTTTTGCCAGAAATAATGTGTTCATTTCATTGGAGTTTCTGCAGTGTTTTATGTAAAGTATATATTGAATGAATTAACTTTTTTTTTTGGTTTTTACGAGACAGGGTTTTTCTGTATTGTTTTGGAGGCTGTCGGTCCAGCCCAGCCTCAAACTCACAGAGATCCTCCTGCCTCTGCCTCCTGAGTGATGGGATTAAAGACGTGCACCACCACCGCCAGCAAATAAATTAACATTTTGTAAGATGCTGAAATTTCACATACCATAAAACTTACTCCTATTTCTAGAAAAGCTTAGCATTGAACTGAAAAGTGCAGAGCACATGTGTCAATTCAATTCTAATTAATACTAATATGTCCCTAAAGAACAAAACACTCAGAAATACACTTTAATGCACTCTTATATACAGGCATCACGAAAATATTGTCAACTGAGTACAAGATGAAACATAGACTGATTTGAGGGATGAGTTCAATTCTGAAAGCCAGACACTACAAAGAACTAAGGGAAAGGGGTGTAATGACTACAGCAATTCAAATGATCAAACATGCAGAATAAAAAGATAGGAGAAAAAGCCAAGAAAACGTCATTTTTAAATATATGCCAGTGAATTTCACAGAGCTTACTTATTCCTAAGATAAAAACAGGGTTTAGATATACTTGTTAGGGCTCAAAGATGTACAACATCTACAAAGGGAAGACATATATTTATTATTTTTATTATTACTGTATTATTATTTGTTAATTATTCTTAAATGATTTAAAAGTCAGAATCTACTTACTTAAGAATTATGTTGTTGGGAGCTTCCAAGTTTTCACAGAGCGGTAGCTTGTTTATGTTTAGGTTAGAGCATTAAGGAAAGTCTCCAGGTCTATCCTCTCACCTTTCCACTCAAGGCTTCTTCTTTACAGATCAAAGAAGGAATAATGCACTTCTCGACTTGCTGCAAAGCTCTGCTTTCTTATCACATAAACAAGGAACAATTGGTCAAACTGATCTGGACTAAATCCCTCTGGACAGCTGCCGTTTCAGACAGGATGAGCTTCACCTTTGAAAATGAAGGTGAGAAGGAAAGGGACAAAGCCAGCAAGAGAGCAGAGTCTATCAAAATGGCTGTGATGGGTTGTCCCCATGAAAGTGTTTTCATGTATTTAGAGCTGCTGTTTAAATAGACAGATGAAAATGTAACAAGCATATGAAAACTTAGTTTTGCTATCTTGTAGCTATTAAATTAGCTAAAGAATTATTACATGCTGTTTTTCCTTCAAATTAGAAAAATAACACATTCATAGCATGTTCTGCTATGTACAAATCCGCCTTGTCTTTATGCACATTTCATATATGGTTACTTTATCAGTGATTTTTTTTGATAGAAAATTGTTCATCACTGAACATTAAGGACACTATATGGCAATAAAGCAATGTAAGTATTGGGGTCTCTGACTTAAAGCAAAATTTAAGTGAGCTTCTTTAACTGAGCTGAGAAAAAAAACTATTGAAGAAGGTGTCCGTGGAAATTTTTAAGCAATTTTTCTGTTATTTTATCTTTTAATTTTTCTCTTTTTTTTTTTTTTTTTTTTACGAGACAGGGTTTCTCTGTATTGTTTTGGAGGCTGTCTGTCCAGCCTGGCCTCGAACTTCTTTTAATTTTTCTTAAACAGAGAACATTTAAAAGTGTAGTTCTTATTAATATTTATCTGCCTGAGCTTCAGAGACCAAGGAGGACATATAGGATGCAATCCTGGGAATAGAACAATACTTTTGGTTGGCTACAACATTGTTTTCAGATATTAAGGCGAACTACTTTTCAATTCTCTGTATGTGGAAAACCACTTTAGTTTTTGACCTCCTTGAACTGTTCATGCAAGGATAACACATTTCAAAATAACTCATTTTTATAGTTTAAAAATATCAAATTATATATAGTCTGAGAAGAAAAAGACTTAGTGCTGGGATGTGGGGATGGGGGCCAGGAGGAATTAACAAGACAAGTAGATGGAGTGTAATAATTAGAGTAAGCTGCTAATTAAAGGCTTCTGGGGACTAAGAGGAAGAGAAAGGCAGGCTAGTGATGGGTCTGGAGCCTCCCTGCAGTCACATGGTACAGCAAAGAAAGGAAGGACTGAAATTAGAGCTGAGAGAGGTGCTGTTCCTGAGGAGCCATTCAAGCAAACAGTTCTGGGTCCTGACCCTTTGCAAGCTGTAGCTGCAAAAGCAAAGTGCCTGATAAAATACAGCTTATGTTACATATCACCTAAAAGGTTTTGATAACACGAGTTTATACTGACAAATGTATTTTTACAAACATATTCTCTTACCAGTTTTGATGGCTCATACCTGCTCTTGGAAAACCAAAGCAAGTAGATTTGAGTTTGAGGCCAGCTGAGGTTACATACTGAAATGCTGTCAATATGTTATTTAAAAAAATAAACTCTCAACATCTTCTGGAGTTGTCTATAGCATGAATGGTAGAATGCAGGGCTTCCAAGTACTTAACACATAATCGACTCTTAAGTGGCACCCTGGCCCCATCCTTCTATAATATAGATACTATATCACGCCTGATACTGTAATGCATGTGTCCCAATAGTTCACTGCTTTAGAAAACATTCAGCAGAATGTTACCCTCTCAGTTTATTCAGACATTGAAAACAGCTCACCATCAGAGCACCTCAAGGGTTATACTATTCATCTGTTTGAAGTCACTCAAGTTACAGGACAAGACCTTGGAAATCTATTGGAATGTTAAGACATATGATTTTTTACTTATTTTGATACATTCACAAAGAATCCTGTATCTAGGGCATAAGAAATAGGTGGGAAATACAGTCAGTTCTTTTATATGTTCATCAATATGTACCGAGTGAATTGAGTGTGGAGGGTGTTCAACTGTAGAGATTCAGTAGGAAAGCTAAGTTTACTAAAACTTCAGTCTTTAGGGCATTCTCACCTTGTGGATTTTAGAGATAATTCCAAACTTTAGAGAAGAGGGAGATAAAAGAGCATTAGGGGCTGGGTGAGATACTAGGGGAAAACGTAGGAAACAGGAAGAATGAACTCCAGAAAGGGGAGCAGAAAACTGAAGTTTAAAATAAATGAGTATTGAAGTCCAGTAAAAAGGGACACAGGAGTTGGGGTATGTGGCCCAGAGGCACCACCAAAGTTGAGCTTGCTTGAGGCTTTGCCTTCCACCCTTAGCACCTAGAACAAAAATAACATGGCCAAAATAGTAGCAGTTGTGTCTAAGAAATTAAATATAGTATTTTAAATGAATTGACAAAAAAAGGAAAAAGCAGAACAAAATTTGACTGTTAACAAATGAACAAAATAGAAGCAGTTATGTCTGACAAATAAAATATTTTAAATGCATCCCCTCCAAAAAATTCCATCAGAAAAATAGAACAAAATTTGACTGTCAGCAAAGGTGGTGATCTGACACATCTGATATTTG